CATGAAAGAACCTAAAAGAAGCACTGACGCTTTCTACTCTCATTGTTCTCCTTTAGTAAGAAGCATTAATGAGCTAGCTGCCTCTGCCATTTTGCTACCCAGTTATTCAAAAAGGCAGAAAGGATGCAGCAATACAGAGTGTAGTATTTCTTTTAAGTTCTATCAGGATGAATTACATTCTCACCTTTCACCACCTTACTTAGTGAAGTAAGAGAGAGAGAGTTAAGGTGGAGTACTTACATTGACCTGTGGATAAGCCAACCTACATCTCATGCCTATTCTTTATTTTAAGGAATGGTTTTATATAGTAATGCTACATTGAGGAATCAGGGAGAGATACTGATAAGCCAAGATGAAGTTAAAGTCTCTCTGTCATAAGTGAAAAGTGTTTGCATTTAAGGATCTAGCCAAATCAGAAACCTGCTCCACTGATACTTTCTGGGAGTCTGATGTCAAACATCCTAAAGATATTTTCATATGATACTTTAAAGCACAGCTATTGCATTTCCTTAATCTGCAACATTAACTCAATATATGCTCTTGCCTAAGTCAAGTAGGAGAATATTCAGTCTCAGACTCTGTTCAGTCTTAGCCTATGGTCAGAAATGAGGGGTGTCATAGTTTGGCAGTATCTGGAGGGCAACAGATCCCCTTTGTTCTGGAATACAATATCTATTTTATTTCAGAATTGTTCTCTTTTCGTTTCTACAGAAGATTATCATTCACCCAGAGAAAAAAGAAGAGACTTAGGGGCATTTAGCATCATGCGTGAAAATGACCTTATAGTTGCAATTTCCTGCAAACAAATGTGGCAGCTGTCAAATTCACTGTACATTAACAATTTTCAAATGGTCACGTTCCAGACGATATCATTGTTTGGGAGGGGGGAGAAGATATATGTGCAGTGGAGAGAAAGAGACTCATCATCAACTTTTAAACTATAAGTTCTGAAGATTCCTAAAGGAATCTGTGATAAGTAATTCAGACACACAGTGTTGTATAGAAGTTTGAACATTGGCCTAAGACTCTAAGAGACGAGGGTTCAAATCCCTCCTCAGCTGTGGAAACCCATTGGGTGACTTTGGGCAAGTCACGCTCTCTCCACCTCTGAAGAAAACAAACTGCAAACCTCCTCTGAATAAATCTAGCCCAGAAAACTCAAGGGCAGAGTCAACATCAATCAGAGTTGACTTCAATTGATATAAGAACACTTAAATAATTCAAGGTGGTAACTGCTACTGCAGAATTTCCCACCACATCAATCTTTTGATCAGCTAGACGTATCCAGATAAAAAAGCATGATAGGGGTACAATTCCCCATATGTGGGCTGAGTTGCACCATTCCCAGACAGCTGTCTATTAGCTTCCCTGTTTCTCAGTTCCTCCCAACTGTAGCAAACAATTGGAATTGTTCTTGATTGTCACCGCCTTCTAACAGGCTTAAAGCAATGCTATGCAAAGTGCTGTCCTCTATACCAATGCCAGTCTGTGAGCTATATTTTCAGATTTGTGAGTTTGTGCCATAGTGAGTTTCCAGGAGAGAAAGAAACACTGTGACCACTGATCATAAATATGGTACCGGTCCCTGGCACGATAAAAAATGATAATTCCTGGACTGCCACATTAAATAGTTTTAGAAGTTGTGACTTGAAGAGTATCAAGAGGAAGACTGAAGGGCAGAAGTTTCATAAACTGAGAAACAAGGGGTATTGCCTATTTAGCTATAATGATTTGAAATGAGAAATAATATTTCCGCATAAGAAAGCATAAAGTAAGGCTTTCAGACATTTCAGAAGTTGTAAGTTATTCCTGTGCTGCCTGAACTTCTCTTGAACTAATTTGACTCTATACTTTCATTTTATAGTGTCAGTCTGTTTATTATACTATACAAACCTATACAAACCCATACAACTCACTAAACTGGGTAAGTTGTATAATGAAACCAAAAGGAAGATTGTAGTAAGACTTAGGGCCCAGCTAGCCGACTACCTTAGATTTCTGTGCTTTTTGCATTAAAATGAACATTTGTGAACTGATTTTGACCAAACTTGATATATACACTCAAATGTTTTCATGCAGGTTTGCCATTGATTTATACACTTCATTGTTTGTGTGGAATGACGAGGAACATGTTTTAAGGCTCATTGATACTTCCATTCAACTTTGTTTCATTTAAACTATGTGCAAAGTCATTGACACCAATGTGAATTACAGTGGGTACATTTCCTAGTAATAAATTAAGCTGGAGAGAGAAATATCTGACATAGAAATTGCATTCCAAATAATATTTTGGCAATGGCTCCTCTCCTCTCTGGCTGAGTTACAGTCAAGCTGTTTGACATACCCCAAACAGATTGTATTTGGCTGGGACTGTGCTGCAATGGCACAAAAATTTATGCTCCTTCACTGGCTCAAATGAAGCTAATGATAACTTGAGGAATGATTCCCCCGACCCCCAAATAGCACAGCCTATATTGACACTGCTCCATGACCAACATGAACTACAGCACCAAAATGGCACCTAATCTTACCTGAAACTAGCCAGGTCCATGAAGCCTAGTTCTGGTTGCACCATAACAAGTGTGCATCATGATATAATTCAGGAGATACTTGATTTGCATCAGATCTGCCAGTCTATATCAGTGCAAACATATTCTGGGGACAGTTTTCTATACCTTGGCCCAGGCACTAATCAGAATGGAGATTGCAGACAAGAAACTAGAAGAAGTCTGAACGGCAGAATGGAAGAACTATTTATTTATTTATTTATTTTATTTACTTTGCTTGTATACCGCAGTTTCTCAGCCCGACAGGCGACTCAACGCGGTTTACAACAAGGGTAAAATGTCAATCAAAACAATATACAATTTAAAACCATTAAGAGCATAGTATACAAAATAATTACACATCAATAACAACTCAATAACATCTCGTAACTAGAATAGTGATCCAATTAGTCATCCATAATTCCGTTCCTGTACTCATCATATTCATTGCACTGTTTATCCGAATGCCCGTTCAAACAGCCAAGTTTTTAATTTTCTTCGAAACACCATTAGCGAAGGGGCTGATCTCACATCCGTGGGGAGGGCAAGATCTTGAACTAACTTACAAGATCTTGAACTAACTTACATGTTAGGATTGTCTATGCCATCATATTTCTCATTTTCATGTATTATTGTGAAAATTGGACAGTGACAAAAGCTGAGAGGAGGAAAAATAACTTACCTATTTGAAATGTGGTGCTGGAGAAGAGTTCTACAGACACCGTGCTCCGTTAAAAATACAAAGAGCAAATCAAGCTTGAACTCTTCATAGAAGCAAGATGACTAAACTGAGCCTGTCATATGTTGACCATGTCAAGAGAAGACATGACTCACTCAAAAATACAATAATGCTTGGGAAGGTAGAGGAATATAGGAAAAGAAGAAGACTAAATACCAAATGGAGAGATTAATTCATGGAAGCCACAGTCCAGTGTCTGAAACACCTGAACAGGTCTATCAATGACAGGGTAACTTGGAGGCCATATCAAAGTCAACTTGCCAGCAGTTAACAACAACAAATACCCAGGTCTCACAGAGAAATAGTTGTTTCACTTCTTTTATGTTTTCTGGTTTTCTAATAGGGATTTCTCATTTTTATGTTGCTTTGTCAACACCTTTGAAAAGTATTCATCCTTCACTGAGTTTTTTTCCCCTTCTCTGGAGCTCATAATCAAGACTGACAATCAGGACACAAAAGGTATGGATCAGGAAGACAGCAGAGTCAAGAAACACATGGCTCCATCTGCACCTGAGCAATAAATAGCAAAAACTGGAAGAAAAAAAAAAACAGGCTGGAATCAGCAGCTTTGAAGAACTAGGTAGAATCTCATTAGACCTGATATTACAATAGAAGTGCCAGAAGCAGATGTGCATAAGAAGTATGGATGGAGTATTTGCCCAGGCTTCTTATCAAACCAAAAGCCAATATATCATCTTGTAGATTCTTTAACAATAAGAAATGATCCATACACACATCCCCCAAATTAAATTCCGTTGATTTTGGGAAACTTGCATGGCTTTCTTTTGCCCTTGGGTCAAAAGGAAGGCTAAGTCTGTGAACACCATTTGGGGACACTTGATCTTCCATATTATGTCAACCTTATGCCCCAGGTCATCTATATATTGCTGTAGTATTTACTACTTTCCATTGGAGGGCAGCATTTCAAAGCTTCATGGGATATAAGAGAAGGTTTCTTTTGTGCCAAGGTCAGGACTAGAGACAGATGTCATATTGCAGCGCATGTGGTGACACATTTTTATCTGTTATATTTTTTTTCTTATTGCTCTCACTAGTTTATGTGGTTAGAGCACCAGACTATAAACAATGGTACTGTGGATTGCAAGTACTCTGTATGTGCAGCCCAGTGGGGAGATTGTGACATGTAACAAAGAGCTTGATATGAAGAACATGGGCGAACTGATGTTGTTTTGTCTGTGCAGAAGGATCCTAAGGAAAGAACTGTCGTACATTCCAAAATCAAGCAGTACGCAGTGAAGATAACAACAAAACCCAAAATTACATACTTTTCTTCAAACTACTATCTTCTTCAGCCAAAAAAAAAACCCTCAAACAGTTTCTGTTGAACTTTACAAATGTAAATTAGTGCAAAGTAAATATTAGGATACTGAGATTGTTGTTCTGGTGCCATAAAGCTGGTGGAAATATCTGCTTCAAAGATGGAAATGTGTGGAAATAGTAATTATAATTACTGGCATAAACTGTTTCCACCAAAGGTTAAGCCTTCAGAGGAAGAAATCATATGCAGATTATGATGGCAAAAAAGGGCAAAGAATTGACTCCAGATGGACATATTTCTAAGACAAATAATTAAGTAGAATTACTAACGTCTTTATCCTTCGTACTATAATTGTGGTATGTGTCATGGTGGAAATCTTGGTGCTCAATGTGTGCCATGTAACTCTTATCAATTAGATTTAATTTTGTTTGTCCTACCACCAACACAGCTGCCACAGCCACCACCATAAGGACCATTCTTTCATCACTGTAGACTTTTCAACCCTTTTGAGTTACCACCAGGACTTTGAGCATACGAACTGTTTCCTGGTGACTGAAACCACAAGCAACTACTGTATGGAAACTAGTCTCAACGTCAGGAGAATGAGATGAAGAAAGTGCTGGGCTTTTGCCTTGCCCCAATTCTGAAGATCATTGTTGTTGAGCACTCTTGTGAGAGACAGTGGTGATGGTGAACCTCCTGGATGTGCTTCTCATGGCCCTGTCCGTTACGGCGGTCAGAAAAGGTACCTCTTCAGTCTCCATTTTTGCTCAGTTCTGTTCCTTCATTTCTGTCCATTCAAGTGATGCTTTCCTTCTCTGCTCAGTTTTTCCCCTCAAAGACCTTTGAATGAGATGTATTTCTTCAGTGTTTCTTTTTTTTCTGCCTAGCCATTATTCAAAGCAACTCTCTTTTGGACCATGTCTTCTGTGATCAATGAAATCCTGGCTTAAGATACCCTTTTGAAGCTCATGCCCATTTCCTACAGCACCTGAAGCTTAGTGTAATCCTTTCTCCATTCTCTTCTTTTTGTTCACAAATCAAAAGGATACCATACAGGTGTATTTATTCTAACAGCCAGCAAATAGCAGGCTGAACTTATAAACAGCACATGTTGTAATTGTTTAGCTGTATCTGTATAGTTTCACATTGCATAGTAGATTTCAAAAATAAACAAATATTCTGCGTGTGTTGGCAGATGTGAAGAATATTTTAATTGCAACCAGAAGTTTAATTGCAACCAGAAGTTTAGTGATACATTTCTCAGTACATGTGTGTCTGTAGGGTTGTAGGCAGAGACAAATATTGATGATAAGATAAGGGTCTGAGCTTGAATTTTCATGGGTAATGACAAAATATACCACCCAATGAAAGCATTCTGATTAAGAGGTATGTTGTTAAACTTTCATAAAAAACAAAAACATATTTTCCCATGTAAAACACATGTGAAAATTAAATAATATTGACTAAGAAGTAAAGGCATATTGTACAAGTCATTCTACTCTAATGATGTGAATTATTACAAAGTCTAATGAGCCATGCTTCCATTCCAAAATTGTTGAGAAACTGCTCACTTGAAATTCCTTCAAATATGTTACTTTCAAAAGGAAGAAGTAAATTTGGTTTCATTAAATACCTGTTTGATGTCAGCATATGTGTCAAATTTGAGAATGAATTTGCACAGAACTATAGATGCACCAAATATTAGGTCTGCAGCATACAAAGTGTACACACATGGAAAGGATTCCTTGTATAAGTTTATTTTGCAGGATACTACGATATATTTTTCTTTGAATGTCTCAATTATATTGTTAAATACTCACTTTCAACGCTAGAAATTTGGGAACTGGGGGACAATTTCATTGGTGGGCAGTATTCTTAATTCTAGGTCAATGCTCACATCCCCCCCAACCCAGTCATTACATCCTAACCCTGGTACATGGGGAGAAGAAGAACTTTGCCCTTTTCAGCATTTGCCAGTTCCAGTCAGAAGTAGGTCTCTGCCCCTTCCTCAGCTTTTGTGACTGGTATTAACTATCAGTGGGAGCTTTTGTGCTGTGATGCAGTCACAGAGGGGTGAAATTCTGAATGGGACTACAATGGGAACACAGCTCGCCAAGGTCCTAATCTGACCCTGTCTCCTTCACTGTGTCACTTCTTGATGTTTTTAAAATAGGATCACAAAAGAATAACAACAACAACAACACTTTATTTATCTTCCTGAAGGGACTCAGGGCAGTTTCCAACACATATGGCAAACATTCAATGCCAGGAAAAGGACATAATAACAAATTGCATCAAAGGAATGCACATCAAAGAAAATAGAACAGCCATTACTTTAAATTTAAAACCAAATAGAAATTAGCCGAGAAAAAAACTTGAGGCAAGAGCAACAAAAAAATCATTTTGTAGTTAGTGAATTCAAGCCTACGCAACAGACAATAAAACTCATAAATACTATTTTGACCTACAAACCCAAGTATCCCTCAGCTAGGATAAATACTGAGAATGTGGTCATCCCTAAGGACCTTCACACACACACACTACAATTATAGTGCTGTGATTCCATTTTAATTGCCATGGGCACATCCCATGGATTCCTGTGAATTGTAGTTTGATGAGGCAAATTCACTGGCTGAGAATTTGAAATACTCTAAATTACAAAAACCCAGGGTTCCATACAATGAAGTTGTGGCAATTAAAGTAGGACATAATGTTGCGCACACACGGTGTTTTGTACACAAAATTGTTAAAATATTGCATACAAAATTACTCTCAAGTTGTGTGTAGGGTGTATATGAAGCATAATTGAATTTCATGTTTAGGCTTGGGTCCAATCTCCAAGAGACCTCACTATGAAGTTATATGCAAATGCAGGTATTCCAAAATCCCAAACACTTCTGGTCCAAGCATTTTGCATAAGGGACCCACAACCTGTACCAGGAATGCAGACCAAACAGAAAGTCTAGAAAATTCCCTAATGGATATATATCATCCATTGGCTGATGGACTGCATTTGGTTTGTTTCCTGTGTTGAAGGTTGTCGTCCACTTATCTTGTCTGAGAAAGGACTGAGGTTGAGAGATACTTGAAACTGCAAGTGCAATCTTTTGCAGTATTTCCAAAGACTGAGGCCACAGGGGAGATGAGACAAGGAAATGAAAAGTTTTTCCTTTCAAATATGAATATTAACAACAAGTATATGTTTTGCAGCAGAAAGATAGGCCAATATGCTACAGTAATACATAATTATTATGGGCATTTTTAAGCCTACAAGTGAAGTTGATGCCACCAATATGAATTGAATGTTGTTTAATTTTAAAATGCGCCTGCTTGCTTTGATTATTTGCTACCCCGTGGGAACATTATTTTACTCAAGTCTCTTTGTTTTGGTTTATTAAATAAGCATTTTAATCAATGTAACAGCAAAAGCTGTTAACAGAGCCCATTGCTCAACTGCTCAAATGTTGGTTTTGTTTTTCCTGAGTTGCTGTCAAGTAACTTCCCTGGGAAAAAATAGTCAGATTCAAGCACAATTGAGGTAAATAATCTCAGTTCCCCAGAAATCCGCCCAAATACCTATGAAAAATCTGATCAAAAAAATGCTACACTGATTTGTCCTCTGTTTCATTCAGGTCAAATCAAGGTAACAGATACTTTCACATTCCTGTTGGACTGAGGGTCATTAAAAAAACCCTATTTAAATATTTTATGCAGATTTTCTAGGAATTTGGCATTCTAAATCAAAAAATGACCTCAGATTTGCTCCATCATTTATTTTTCCACAACTTGGTTTTATGTTTTTACTTTGTAATATGTGACTAAGTAAAATATCTTTGTGAATAAAGAACATACATCACCATCATGGGTAATCAATTGTGGCCAAGAATGATTGTCTACTAGAGGTAGAGGTAGAGGTAGACAATGGATCCATAAGTGGTGGATTCGTAAATGACCTTTTGTGTGTGTCAGGAGCGACTTGACGCTTCTGGTGTGAGAGAATTGGCCGTCTGCAAGGACGTTGCCCAGGGGACGCCCGGTGGTTTTTAATGTTTTACCATCCTTGTGTGAGGCTTCTCTCATGTCCCCACATGGGGAGCCGGAGCTGACATCTGTGCTCTCTCCGGATTCGAACCTGCGACCTGTCAGTCTTCAGTCCTGCCAGCACAAGGGTTTAACCTATTGCAACACTGGGGTCTCCTATAAATGACTGTGAAGACTTAACAACGTGAAAGGATTAAAGTCTTTCAAAACACTTTAATTTGCAATTTTGAAACACAAAAATCCACTCAAAAACACTAAAAGAAATAGCACTGAAAGATTAGCATTCAAACTTAATCAGCGACTTAATTTAAAAAAGTGTAGAATTGGAGACAGAATTGCTTGTGTTGTGACAATTTTGTGTTTTGCACATTTGGCATTTAAGAATCCTTTTTTAAAAGCTACCATATTGGGGAAAAACCCACCACCGGCCTATGTTGCATTTTTTATGTGGAATTACCTAGTTCACATTTACTGAACCCAAATAAGAATCTGGCTGCAATTTGAAGTTAGAAATGTGTATATTTAATAATAATAATAATAATAATAATAATAATAATAATAATAATAATAACTTTATTTATAGATCACCCTCTTTCCCAAAGGGGACTAAGGGCAGTTTTCTGAGCTAGCAGTGTAATTCACAAGATCCAAAAAGAAAAAGAAAAGAAAAAAAGAAAGGAAGCTACAAAAAGTATGTGAATTCTAAGAAATGCAGTTATGAACATGTGAAAAGGTTCATGTAGTGCAAAATACTAATGATAACAACAAAGCTTGCGGGTTTGGAATCAGTGGAACCTCAATTAAATTAATAGATTCACATCCATATTGAAGAACTGAGATACAAAGCAGATTATACACTGAATATGTGAGTGCACTTCATACTCATTACAAAAAATTAAATAGCAACTTGAGATGGAACCGTTCAGGACTGTTCCGCATAGGGAAGGGGCTTTCTTCTGTGCTAAGGTCTTTATGAAAAAGGTTCACCCGGGAAGGGAATCTTTCATTGGTACCGGTAATTTACTCTCTCACTTTGTAGTTCCAGTTCTTATCAGCCCTCTCTGCAATTCCCTTTGGTTACTCTTTAAAATTAGAAATACCAGACACATGAAACTCATTCCCTCATTTTATGTATGAGTTAACTAGGCCCTGAAAGAAGTGAAACAATGGTAGGAAACAGTCTGTATCCTTGAACTCCTTATGTTTATTAAAACTTGGCCCACACTAAGGATACAGATTCTCTCCTGACATTGTTTTTGTTTATTGTGTCTCATCTCCTTTCTAAAGTTTTTTTTTTGTTTGAATTATAGTCCACGAATATGGAGTGTGCAACTGGCCAACCTGGATGGAGGAAAAAACTGCAACTACAGCAGAGCTTTCCAAACATTTTATGTTCGTTACACACTTTTTAGATATGCATCATTTTGTGACACAGTAAACCAGTTTTACTAGTGAACTGGAGATTAAACACCCCCTTATAAGAGATATGGATATATACAAAAATTGTAATAATGAGATGTATGGGAATACAACGTATCTCATGAAAATCTTTCATTTATAATTTTTAAATATACAATTTGAAAGATAATAATATACATTTCCAAAATGTTTGTAATTTATGAATAACAATATGTTATTAATAGAAGTATTAACAACATTACCAATACTAATCAGCAGCAGCTTCATAAAAATGCATGCAAG